ACTGGGGGTTGTTTCTAAACAAGCCAGCTAAAAATGGGAATTAAATTTGTTTTCTTGCTCATTTTCCGAGGCTACAGAAACCCTAGAAACAAGAAACCTCTATTTTCACTGCTTCTCTCTCCAAGACCCACACTTTCTAACAAATTCACACTCTTGTTCTCCTGTTGGGTCAAGAGGAGGCAGTGAAGGCACTGTGACTCTAAGAGTGTAGATTCATTTTTTCCTCTGGCAGCAAAGGTGATTTAGGAGTTTCTTGCCAAATGGCTCTGCTTCTTATTGCTGCCCAGATGCCACCACTCACAGGGCAATTGTGCTGAGGCAGCTGTTTGTTGAGCTGTGCTGGAATCAAATCATTCAAATGGTCCAGGTTTAAAAATATCTTCCTTCACCTCAAAAAAAACAACAAAAAAATTGATGTCATTCCAGTGACATTCCCATTCTTAGCACATCCCTGCAAAGAGCTGCAGCAGTGCAAATGGGAAGTGAACCACGGAAACAAAGCAGGAAGAGGTGGATGGGGACCCAAGGTGCAGAACCTGCTTTGGTTAGCATTGTTGCTTCAGAAAACATTCATATAGGTTGTAGCCAACCATCTCTCCATCTGCATTAAAGAGATTATGAAGACCCTTCACCTTTCCTCCCCACTTCCTAAATTTAAGAGTTAGTGATCTTGTAAAAATAAAAATGCAGTCAAAATTCTCAATTCCTATCAAGCAGTTTTCTGATATTCTGAAATACTTGGCTGGGATCTCCCTTGTGTATTTACTTAAAAGACAGACCTAGTCTAACTTAGTCACTCAGAGCATCTCTAGAGTCAGTAGAAAGAAACAAGTACCTCCAGAGGGCAATCCACTTCTTTGAGGATGGGACAAATCACCCTTTGGTTGTGCCTTTCTCTCATCACTCCCGTTGAAGGAGATGAATCCAGTTTGCTTGAATGGATATCTCATTTCTGGATGACTCAAGTTTGGCAATATGGTTCCCAGTGTCTGTACCTAAAGGCTACAGAGATTCATGGTGGTAGAGCAGAAAATGATGTGTTGACTTCAATATCTAGAAGGCCTAGACTTCATATTTTTTCCCCAGCACAAATAGGACAAATGCTGGGACCTAATAAATGAAAATATTATGACAAAGCCATCCCACTCACCTCTTTCCTCCTCTCCACAGTCTTTTACAAGAACCTTATACAGATTTAAGTAGACCCCTGTTTAAGGAAGCAAATACTGACAGATGCTGAATAACTACAACTTTGAAAGTACTCATCAGGCTCAACTCTGAGATCCTTATACTGTTTATTCATACAAATTCTAGTATGCCAGATGCTGAAGAGTGCTGAATGGCTGCTCAGTGGGAATTGTGGTTGCTCAGCACCTCCAAAGAACTGGCATGTAAACTCCAGCCTGGACTTTGCTTTTATGGGAAAAACAAAACCGACCATCAGTCATGCATGTTGTACTTCCCTCCCCACTTCATGAGCTGGCCTGGGGAAAATTCCTGGTGCTTACTGAAAGCATCATCTGATGTCACTCAACACCACAGGGGAGAATATAAATCAAAGTGTAAGTATTCAGCACTCTCTCAGCATTGGCCTAATGTGATTAATGTAATCTGAGGTAAACACTTTAGTTATTTCTTATTACTGTTAGGGACCCAAATCAAGGGTTGGGACTTGTTAATCTAGGTAATGTGAAAAACAAGCCCTACCCATGAGATCTCCAAGGCTAAGATAAAGCTCAGGTAGAAGCTTGACAAAAGTTACTTAATAGCAATGGACAGATATGATGAAGTGTTGAATCTGAACTGTCTTAAAGGCATGTGGCAAGGGCTATGCCATGCTCAGCACAAAGCTTTCCTCTCTCAGCAGAGTAGAGTTGTGGTAACAGGGAGAGTAAGGTAGTCCGTGACAAGATTCCAACGAACTAGAGAGCTGTCAGATGCCTGAATCCCAGTGACACTGAGTAGACCTGCTTCTGCATTCTGCCTTTCAGAATCACATCCTGGTTCCAAAAAAAGTTGTTTTCTGTAAAATCTACAGTGGAAACCTTTGTCTCAGACAATCCCCAGCACACTGTATAACTCTGAATTGTGCAGGCTGCTGGTGGAAGGGGGAAACAGACTTAATAACATGGACGGAGTTGCTTCTGGCACCTTTTGGTGGTTTCTTGTCTTACATGAAGAGAGTGTACCTCAGTCACTGGACAACTCAGAGCACAAACTCTGAAGTGTCACAGGTGTGAAAACACAAGTCTAAAAGCCAGGGAATGTCCATATTATCAGTTTTGTGCTTGCTTCTCTCCTGGCTGGGTGTGATGGAAAACAATAGCTCTTGGAAAGGCACATCGAGGTATTGCAGACCGGCAGCCTGCTGAGTCCAGAGAGCTGCAGGGAGCAAATGCTTCATCCAGCCAAACCCAGTGGGAATCTGTTGGAGCTCCAACATTGTTTTGCTGACACAGGAAGATGTCATCACAGCAAAATATGAAGGAGTTAACACATTATGAAATACAGTTTTGGCAGTGATGCAGACAAAGATTGTTTTGTTTGAAATGCAGTACCAGCAGTGTTGGTTAACAAGGTAATGCAGTCACCTTGCCAGTCTAAGTCATTACATTGTGCCTTTTTTTTCTAACATGTTAGGTTCAAATCCTATGAAACAAGCTGCATAATTTTAAGCCCATAGATAGTACTTTTCTACAAAGTTAATCTTGATTTAATGTAAATTTCTGTATAGTAGCTGGTTAGAATAGCAAGTGGAAGTGCTAAAGGAAGCCTGTATTGCACAGGAAGAGAAATGACAAGGTATCAGTGTGGGTTTAAGTAAAAAAAAAAAGGAATAAAAATGCAGGAATTTTGTTTTAAACTTCTTGCCAGTCCTATCCATTTACAGAGTGAGAAGTGAGGAGGGCTGTCCCATGCCTGCTTACACACACTGCTGAGGGCTCGGTGCACAAAATTGCACAACCAGTTTCAAAATTACTCTTGGCTGGTGCAGGCACTCTGACTGCCCTTCCAAAAATAAAGGCAAAATTTTCAGCATCACGGAAGACTCATAAACCACCTACACTCCTACATCTACCAAGATCAAGAGAGCCCTGAATCCCATATAACTCAGAAAGTCTAGCCATGTATTTAATGCTGAAACCTGACTTTTATAATCAGGTTGAAAGGTTTGCAATCAGCACTTTGCAGATGTGACATGAAGATCTTCTATATTCAGGACTCAATTAGCTACCTGCCTTTCAGCTGAAGATCTGGTCCCCCGGGCCAAATTCTTTACCATACTTTTCCATAAGTCTGGGAAACAACCCTTCTCATTGGCATTGCTGAAAATGAACTTCCACACTCAAGTAGGCAGCTATTTCTCCCACATTTTTCACCATGCTTGTGCTCTCATTAAAGTACATTATAAAGTTAGCAAGCAAAAACTATATTCTTCTGCAAGATCCTTGCCCAAAAATGTCCTTTGAGTCCTGTATATTGTAGCGAGTAGCAATGAGTACCATGCTTTGAAAATACGAATCTAAGTCAAAGATTAGCCCACATTTCAAATATTAAGGCAGTTTTTCAGATAATGTTTCATAAATAGGGCTATTCCAGTTTAGGATCTGGGTCTAAAAATGGCATGGTGAACTCTAATTAGATATGAATAAAGAAATAGGGAGCTACTTTTTTCATGTCTTCATACTGTCTTGTTTGTTGGTGTCATGACAGTTAAATAGGTAGTGACCAGAATGAAGCCCAATAGCCAATTTACACTTAACTAGTGTAAAATAGTTCTTACTAATTCTTGTGGCAAACTTTAATAGTAAGTACTTACAAAAATGCTTAGGAAAATAATTCATCTCATGCTTCAGTTCCTCATAAGCATCCCTGCTTCCATGTTTTTTGCTGGATATGTCTGTTAGCATCACTGTTTTGGTAACTTTCTGTTTTAGGACAATTTCAGGACATGTTAAAATTCAGAGGATACTATTTTGTCATTTTCCCTCTATTGAGTAGTATGTTTACATCAAATAGTTCACCTGAGATCGTGCTGCAGTTCCCAAAGTAAGGTGAAACTGCACAAAGAAGGCTGGTAGTATAGCTGTTTTAATTTTAAGAATGTACAATGATGTATGGGCATATCTAGAAATATAGAGGGAAAAAATCCTGTATATTGCAAGTTAGACTACGGTCTTAATGATGAAGACATAAGGTATTCCTTAGCTAACAAATCACCAATTTTTATGTATTTTATTTTTAATAGGATTTTTGATACTATCACAAAGATGTCTTCATTCTCTGCCAAAGGGATCTGAAAACACTGGAACTAGTAAAATATTTCCACCTATTACACTGGTTTGTTAAATATTCAACTAATTTTAGAAATTCCTTTAATTAACAACTACAGTATATCATGTCCAGATTCATTTTTCTACTGTACGTGTAGGATACCTATGCAAACAAAAACGGGAAATAAACAGAAGCTTTTATCTCTGTATTATTTATTTCCTGTTCTTGATCTGAGTGAAACTGAAGTGAAATAAATATTAAAATTCTTTAAAGGAAAAAAAAACCAGAAAACACATCCAAGGCAGATTTCATAACAGCAGAACAAGAATCATTTTGAGTGGCAATGCACTGGCAATAACTTTTGGCTTTGGTTCACATCAATCTGGAGGCCCAGCTACACAAGCCAAGCTGGCTCAGAATCTCTTCTGAACAGGCATTAATCACCTTCAGTGCTGTAATATTCCAGAGGTCCTAATCGGGACAGCTCTTTGCACAGATGTAACATACTCACCTGGCACAATCCTTCCTCTGCCAGTGGTCATGGCAAAAGTCCCTCTGACTTCTCTGGTGTTAGAAGTCTGGCTGGCCTCCCCAAATTTCCATGCTCCCTGCCTTTTCCCCTCTTTCCCACTTCATTCTCTTTTCCTGCATGTTGTGAAATCTTAAGGATTTTAGTGCAATTCATATTTTCCTCTTCCCTTTGTCAACCTTTTCTTCCTTTGCAGACTGGTTCTGAACCATACGCTCAAGGACGAGTGGAGGAAGCGCCTGTGAGCAGTGAGAGGGGTGACGAGCCGGCTCGTCATGTTTTCTCCTTCTCCTGGTTGAACTCACTGCATGAATGATGACTCACTCTGGCTGGCTTCTGGTGTGCTTCTCCTGGGAGGGACCGTGAGCACAGGCAGCCTGGCTGCAGTCAGCAAAGAAACTGGCCTGGAAAGGGGCATCCGAGCAGGTTTCATTCCCAGGAACTCAGTTGGCCTCCACATCATACCCTTGAGATGATAGATCTGAGAGGGATGGGAGCATGGGGACAAATTACTATACTATATTGTAGTCAAAGTGATTTCCAATAATTTTTTACTTGCAAGGGGAAAGTAGCATCACTACAGCTTTACGCTGAGCACTGCTAGTGTTTTGTTACTCACCTTTTGGCGCATCCCCTCGTAGGGGTAAGCGCTTCATCAATGTTGTTAGCTAAAATGCTGGTATGATATTCACTAATAGCACCCTTTGCCAAACCAATGTTTCTTCTGAATATCCTCCTGTATCTCCACTTGTTGGTGCTGAGGACTTCAGTGACACTATCACATCCTTGGCACCCCAAATCAGGGTTGTGTCTGACAGTACCGGTGCCTCCACAGCTGCGGAACACGGGAGGAAAGAAGGAAGCTGCCATTTCTGCCTTTGGACTTGCTCTTCCTGCTAAGCCACAACAGATGACGCTCACATAAACACTTTATTTGTAAGGAAGATTCCCGGTGGCAGGAATGAGGAAGATGCATGCACCAAAAGCACTGGCCAAGACCCCAGGCATGGATGCAGGACACAGCTCTGAATATGTGGGGCAAATGCTGTAGTGCTGCCCAGCCTGTCCAACCATAATCTGTGTTTATGTCTTCTCAGTCATCAGTGTGTGTAGAAAAGGGGGCATGTTCTTACACGAAATCAGAATGCAGTGAGGTGGTCACAGGTACTCAGTCAAGGTTTAATTTGAAATCCCAATGGTGCGCTGTAGAAAAGGCAGATGCTGACTGTCCTGTTCCATGTGCCTTGCAGATATTTATCGATCTAATGAAATCAAATTTGTGTCTTAAAAGAAGTTCTAGAAGTTCTATGTAAGGTGGCATTCTGCAATTTTTGTCACTGGGAGCAGGGTGTCAACTCTCAGTAGTGTTTAAGAGAGATTGGAAGGCTGCCGGGAGTGCTTGGTGCCATAGGGGACCAGGTGTCAAGCTCTGCACTAGGGTTACATGTGGATCTTTCCCAGATCCCTGAGCCAGACCCTCAATGCAGTTTTGTGTGAGGTCATAGGGCTGTGCTGTGTCCCAGCAGGACTGGTGAGCTGGCAGTGCAGACCAGTTAGCAGGCTGTGTGGGGTTAGCCCCCGTCCTGGACATCTGCCGCTACTGGCCTGAGTGACATCAGCCCTCGTTGGTATCTGTTTTCCCCGGAGAACGCTCCTGAGAGAGTTTGTCGGGCTGCACAGGCGAGCTCCACGTAAATATTTGGAACTCTCACAGCCCAGAGAGAGCGCCGCCCAGCACCGCCACCGCATCGCCTCCGGCTGCTGGAGCAGCTTTTCTCTGGGATTCGGTTCGGGGTGAGGGATTTCCTATATACTCCCAGTCGTCCTGGGAGATTTCCCCTAGCTCCTCTGGCAGTTTTTCCACACATACTCAGAGCCCCTGGGAAGGAGCCCTCTTGGGCACCTCCACCGGGACGGGGGAAGCCAAAGCGCGGAGGAATCCGCCCTTTTAGGGTGCGGGGAGGATGTGCAGAGCCAGAATGAAAACGCAAAAGGGATGCGGGAGCGCCTCACCACTTTCCCATCGCTGCACTCTGGCGGGAGGAGGCTGCCCGGCCCCAGCCACAGCGGTAGGAGCCAGTGAGCCCCCTCGGGGGGCTGCCGAGATGGGATTCGGCAGTGCTGGGAGGCATCGATTTGCCCTCGACACCCCGTTCCCGGGAGTAGCCTGTGCCGAGGGCGGCGGCGTGGGGCAGCCCCCATCGGGGCGCACCTCTGGGAGAGCCGGCGGGGACGGGGGCTTCCCGGGGCGGGGAGGGGAAAAACATCCCCCGGGGGCTATATAGGACTCCCCGGGTGCCCGCGGACGCGGGTGCCCCCCTACGCCCCGGTAAGCACTGAAGGAGGCGGAGCAACCCTTAGGCGTCTAGGCAAGAAAGTCTATCAAGGCGTCTTTACTTTGCAGCTTTTATTAAAAATATAAATATTAAACATTCTCTTACACAACCAAATCGACCGAGCGCTGAAAAGATGTTTTATTGTGAAAATGTTTACAGGAAAAAAAGTGAATTGAAAGTAGCTTACAGAGATTCCCCCTCCCACCTCCCTGCCCCTAGCAGAAAAGTTTTCTGTCTTCTTGGCACCATTTCTTCCAATGCTCACACATCCCTACGTAGCGATGGCACTAGAATAACTGGGAAATGGAGAAATAAATAAAGGTAGGGGAGGTTACGAACGACACTCGAGTTTCTGCACTTGGTACACGGTTGTGCATGCTAGTCAAGGGACAGAGGCTGTTCGGAGCACACCCTTCTAGGTTTAAAGCTATATAAAAATAAAGAGATGACATCAGAGCAGCACTATGGTACATCGGACGGTGTAATTATTCTTGTGCTAACTGCGGAATCTCTTTGGCAAGGTGGGGCGGGGCCGTTTCACTTCCCGATTATCTCCATCAGTTTCCTGTTGCTGTGAGCTTGCTGGGCTAACTGCTCGGCTCGGGCCATCTCCAAGACTTCTCGCAGGAGGTGGAAAGTCAGATCCAGAGAAATAGGGGGCTCCTCGGATCGCTTTTCCCTCTCCACGGCCTCACCCTCGGCTTCGCCGTTCTCGGGGCTCCCCGGCGAGCGCTTGGGCAGCTGCTGCAGCTGTTGCACCGCCGCCCGGAAAAAGTTGCTGGCGGAGGCTTCGGGCTGTAGGTGGCTGGTGCTGCTGGAGGAGGCGGAGAAAGAGCCAAGGGGTCTCTTGTGGAGGTTGCCCAGGCGCAGGAAATACTCTTCTCCCATGCGGAGCAGGACAGGCAGAGTTTGCTGCTGCTGCTGTTGCTGCTGCTGCTGTTGCTGGAAGAAATCTGGCTGGTGAAGAGCCCCGGGGGCGGCTGCCGGACTCTTGCTGAGAGCTCTGCACTCCTGGCAGGGCAGGAGGGCGACCAGCAGAATTCCCGTGGAGACCAGCAGCGGGATCTTCATGGTCGGGGCCCAAATCTGCGGAGGCAGACGAGGAACGGGGGTTGGGTTACACAGCCGAGCCGCAGCGGCGGGGAGGGTAGCGCGGGGACGGGGACGGGACGCCCCCGCCGCCGCTGTCCCGGTGCTGAAACGCGCCGCTCCGCGCCCCTCCGCGCCCCGCACACCGCACACAGCATACCGCACACCGCCGCACGACCGCGCTCATCCCGGCCCGTCCACCCGCGCCGTCGAGGCGACTGCTCCTCGCAGAACAGCCCCGCGGGGCAGCTCCGGACAGATCCCGGGGACCAAGCTGGGTTGAACCCCTGCAGAGAGTCCCCGCGTGTGCGCGGACCCGCGCCCCTTCACCCACTCCGGGCGAGGGGGAGAGTGGAGCGTCTGCGGAGGGGTAGCTCTCCCCAAGAGCTGCGGGGTGCTAGCGTCCGCTCCCCCGAGTCTCCCCGCACCATGGCCGGCCGGGGCAGCTACCCGCGTTCTGGGGGACTCCGCGCTCAGCCCCGCTCAGCGCAGGGCAGCGCATCCCTCTCCGCGCCAGGCGCGGCCCCGCACTTACCTGGGGCGGCGGTGGCGGCGGCAGGGCAGGGCAGGGCGGGTGGTGGGACTTTGCAGTGCCCGGCGTCCCTTCCTCTCGCTGTCCCTCGGAGTCGGCTCCTGGCGAACTTGGGATCAGATTTGGTCCTAATCAGAGCCGGGGCGCGGGATTTTTATAGCTTAGACCCTCTCCTGGAATCACGCAGAACTTGCCTAATAAGCTGACGCTCTCCTGACAGCCCGATTGCGTGCCCCGATCTACTGCTGAATAAATCATGGGGGCCCGTCGGAGCGGCGATGGGCAGAGTTTCGCTATCGCAACCCCAAATCTCACGTCCAATTATATCAACAGATATTTATCGCCTCTGCAGTGACGTCAGCCGGGCCGGGGGCCGGGGAGCAGGATGCCCCCCCCACCCCATTGACAAAAATACTTGAATGAGATTTCCTAGCGAGCGCGTACTATGAGAGGTCACTCCGGGGAAACTTTCCACTCACGGGCCAGCCCTGCGGGGCCGGGGCTGCTATCCCGGGTGGACTCCCTCCCCTATCCCAGGTCCTGCTCGGCCCCCACCGCCTCCGATCCCGCCCGCAAGGGGCGACTGTGGCGGGTCAGCACAGGAGGCTCCGAGAGGCGCGCGTTTTGCGGGAATCCCGCTTTGCTCCTCGCCCCGGGCAGGCCGATGCAGCGCTTGCCCTGCAGAGCGGGCAGAGGCGCAGCCGAGCCCGCAGGGAAGAGGCAGAGCAGATGCCAGTGCTGGTGCCGGTGCCGGGAGGGACCCACGGCATCGCTGGCACCGGGGCTGCCCGGGGACCCGCCAGCGGTAGAGGGGGCGGAAAGCCCCCGGGGGTGGCTGGGACGTCCGGGGCCGCCGCCGCCGGGGCCGCCGGGAGCATCTACCGGGGAAGGGAGCGCAGCCCGGGCCGCGCTCCTCTCGCTCCTCCTCCCCTGCCACCGCCTGCGCCGCCGCCTGCTCGTCCCGGCCCTGGCTCCGCGCTGCCGGCTCGCGCTCCCCCGGTCTGGCCCGTGCTCCTCTCCATTGTCTTCCCACGTCTTGTGTGGAGGTAACAACTGCTCTTTTCCCCACTCCTCGACTCCACTAGCTGATCTTCCCCACCTCTTCAACCCCATGGCCATATACCTCCCTGTTTGCCCTCCTCAGCTAAGGCACCCTCCCTCCGGGGTATCCTAATCCCACGTGGAGCTCTCTTTGAAGTGCTCTCCCATGTCCATTAGGCTCCAGACCATATTATACCAACCTCTCCAGCTGGATTTCATGCCCTCTGGTCTCTTCAGGAAGTAGTGCTGCCTATAGAAATGACTTCTGCCCAACACCCCTTCTGTGTGTAATGTGTGTTCTTCCGTTTTTGCATCCCA